TCATATGCGCCTTCATTAGACTGCACCTTGTGAGAGCAGGGATCATCTCGTAAGCAATTTCAGTAGCCCACTCACTGGCAGTTAGTCACTGAAAATACAAATGGCAGAAACAAGGGTTGTTTGTGCGTTTGTTTCTCAGTTTATTAAAATCTCATTAGCAAGGGAGTCAATGTCAACATCACATTGAAAGTAAGGTCTGTGATACAGATAACAGAATTGAGAGAATGCCCATTGAGACTGTGTCTGTGAACACCAGGGCAGCCAGATGAAGGTAGGAAAAATAATGAGTAGTTAGCTCATTACAAGAGATTGAACTTAAAGTGGCCTCAGAAATATGAATGAATGGTTTCCCAATACTGAGTGAAAGTTTAAAGTTCCAAAAAAATAACATATTTGAGACTAAGAAAGAATTAAGCAGGTAAAGATACATAGAAACACTTGCATACATACAGTTGGTTATCACAAAAACCCATTTGCCAAAGAGAATACAAGTTAAATGTAAGCACAAAAGTGACGTCAAATAACCAACGTGGCCTGTCTGGAATGTGTGCTCAGTAATAGGCTAGATAAGGACCAGGAAATCCTCTCTCTATTACAGGCAATGTGGAGTCATGACCATTACACAATAGCCAGAGTTATAGAAATGAACATAAATTGTCGCAAAAGGGAGGGGCGGGGTAAGTAGTATTACTTTGCTTAGAAAGAAAGAACTCTGTTGATATTTAAGCGTTATAACAGGCTTTTGCAAGAAGCACTTTATTCCCTTCGAGATCTTGATAGAAGGGCCAGTCTCCAAAGAAGTCTTCAGAGCCTGGCCCCAAAGAACTCCTAGAGTCCCTTCCAGTTCTGTCATACCATGAGTTAAACCTTAGTTCTACTCAAAGGAACAGGAAAAATGTTATATTTTATTGGCAGTTTATGAATTTGATCTTGGTTAAGAACCCTGTCTCTATCACTTATTAGCTAGATGACCCTAAGCAAGTTTTAACCTCACTAAACCTATTTCTGCATCCATCTATAAGATGGTTTTTTCAGAGGGTCACCATGATAATTCGATGAGATAAGATCTGTGAGTTGCTCAGCACAGTGTCTAGCCCACAGCAAGCACTCAAAAGATGGAAGCTATTGTGACTGAGGATTAAGTGAAAATTAAATTAAATTAAAATGAGCACTCAGAACAATGCCTAGCTCACAGTAAGCACTCAATTTTAATGAAAAGGAATGAATTGCAAGCTAAATTTTAAAACAAAAATAAATAGTATCACAAAGCTTTATCTTCATGTGGGGGTACCATAGTATTTTAGGAAAAACATCTCCTATAACATATAGAAATAAATGTGTAGTATATTCACCAATAATACCACACCAAAAAAATTAGTGGAGGAAAGCTATATTGGGCTAAGGAAATGATTACAGATGGAAAAGTAATAATTATAATGATGTGTTGTGTTTGTATACTAGTAGACATGTATAACAATAGTACTATAAAGAAGGAAGGGAATAGAATGAAATAATTTTTTTATTACTGGAAACTAGCATAAGCTAGTATAAATCTGAAGCTGGTTCTAATAAGATATATGTGGTAAACTCTTAAACAACTACTAAAAATATAATGAAAAAAATCATTTTAAAAAATGAAAATGCTGCATTAGAAACCATTCACTTAGGCCAGACATGGTAGCTCACACCTGTAATCCCACTTTAGGAAAAAAAAATCTACCACTAGTTATATGACTTTGACTAAGTCGCTGAAACCTCTGCATTTCTGTTTCTTCTCTGTGTGAGTGGAAGTGGATTGATGTTTCTTCCAATTCTGAGTCTAGAGTTCTAGATAATACCAGAAATTAGCATACACTAAAAATTTATAATATATAATATATAAAACTCTAGTTATAAACTAATAATCAGTCACTAATAATATAAGTTAATTAAAAACAAAATTCACAGTAAGTATAAGGCACTATAAACATAAAAGTTCTTTAATTATCTAAGGACTAATTAAATAATAAATAACTACTAGATACAGAAATATTAAAGATGAAACAACGATATACTAATTTTTATATAATTTTCCCTTGATACACAGAGCAATAAATTATTTTGAGTATCTTATTCCATAAGAATCACATATACAGGCTAAGCGCGTTGGCTCATGCCTGTAATCCTAGCACTTTGGAGGCCAAGATGGGAGGATCACTTGAGCCCAGGAGATCAAGACCAGCTTGGGCAACATAGTGAGATCTCAGCTCTACAAAAAAAATCAATAATAATAATAATAATTACATATACTGAGTCTAAATAATCACAGATTCCAAATTAATGCTGCTTCACATTCAGGAATCAGCAAATCTTTTCTGCAAAGAGCCAGATGGTAAATATTTTAGGCTCACTCAGCCCTTCCTTACAGCTCAAGAGCAGCCGATATGTATACATGAATGGCTATGGTGACATCCCAACAAACTCTATTTATGGACAGAAATTTGAATTTCATACCATTTTCAAGTGTCATGAAATATTAATATTCTGTCTAGTTTCTTTAATTTGCCATTTAAAAATGTAAAAACTATTCTTAACTTGTAGACTGTACAAAAGCAGGCAGTGTGCAGGAATGAGCCCACAGGCCATACTTTGGCAACCCCTGCCATAATTACATATTTGGGGAAAGAAAGTGGTAATGTAGGAAATCCAGAACTGGCAGAATCCCCTTATGGGATTTTCGCTGGTTGGGTTGTTGGTGTTTGTCTTGCTGTACTGTTTTCATCTGCCATTTCTCTGAGGGATTACACTACAAACCACCTGCCAGTTCTCAGTTTCTGCATCAAGGGCCCTGGGTTTAAGCTTACCCAAGGTAAGCCTGACACCTTGTGGTTGCATTGCAAATGTCAGGTGCCACCCTGGACAGAATCAGCAATGCCCTTCTGGAGAAGGCCGAATCCAAGGGAAAGTATGCGAGTCAGCTAGTGAGCCAACCAGTAGTAGTAGTAGTAGTAGTAGTAGTAGTAGTAGTTGTTGTTGTTGTTGTTGTTGTTGTTTTTGTTGTTTTTGTTGTTGTTGCTGTTATTAAAATGAGGCAGGATAAAATCAGAGTTCACTCTCTGACTTCTCTCTTCGAAGGGAGCTTCCAAAAGTCTGTCCTTTGGGGGTACTTCATTCGAAGAGGGAGAGGGAGGAGGAGGGAAGGGAGAGGAGGGGTAGAGGGGGAAGGAGGAAGAGAAGGTAGAGAAGAAATAACTTCTAGAGCCTTTGCAACTAAAAGCTCCAAGGACATTCAAGAAGGCCCCCTAGCCGGGCTCGGTGGCTCAGCCTGTAATCCCGCGTCTTGGGAGGCTGAGGTGAGTGGATTGCCTGAGCCCGTGGGTTCGAGACCCACCAGGGCAAATTGGCGAGACCTCATCTCGACAATAAATGAAAAATCAGTCGGGCGTGGTAGTGCGCGCCTGTAGTTCCAGCTACTCGGCAGGCTGAAGCGGCAGGATCGCCGGCGCCCAGCAGGTCGAGGCTGCAGTGGCCGGGAGCGGCCACTGCACTCCAGTCTGGGCGACAGAGTAAGACTCCAACTCAAAAAAAAAAAAGAAGGCCCCCTGGTCTAGTTAAGTCTCTCACTCCCAGACATTACTATCCATCCAGGAGGAGAGAAAGGGGTACTGGGCACCTCAATCCCACTCCTCTCAGATGCTTTAATGGGAGATAGAAGGGAAACTTAAAGCACATCATTGCTATTGAAAATCAGGAGTTTTACTCTGGGAAATGGTGAATAAGGGACTTCAAGGAGGTAAAGACCCATGACTGGAACATTACCACAAGCCCTGAGGCAAAAATGGGATGATTCATTGCCTGCCCAGGTCAGACTGTCCCAAGGCTATTACACTGTTCGGCTGTGATGAAGTGTTTTTTGCTCCTTTTGGGGAAAGGGTTGAAGAGACCATTCTTTCCATTCCCCTGCCTCTAGAAGTGTTTCCCCAAAACATCCTAGACTCTAAGTTATTCCTATCCTGTAAATTATACCAGAAAGGAGATTCTGCGCCATGCTAGGTTGGGAAGTTCATCCTCTCATCTAATTCACAGCTGTCCATCTATGTTTCTGGGAAAGCAGAGAGAGGGAACACATAGAGGGAATTTGGCAGGGATCACCCCTGGGTTCTGTAATCACAAAAGTACTTTGTGGCTGTAGGAGTCTCTTCTTTGAGGTAACACCCTGAGAATCTCAGGTGCATGCTGAAACCTCACAGCTGCAGAAAGGGGCTGCAAAGAATCAGCGATCATTTCAACTGTCAATACCCTCAGTGCTGGGGACCTGGGACAGGAAGGTAGGCAAAGGATTTAAAGGCCCTGATCTTGGGGGTCCCGATGAATTCCCCACACTGACAACTCAGAGAAAGGCAGAGAAGGGTGAGCCCAGGGTCGTTACTTAGATGGACCCCTGAGCCCACTGCAGACCTGTGTCGTTAAGAACGGGGTGGGATGCAACTGCTGAGGTGTGTGGCCTTGAGATCACGTCTTCACTCTCCTCCTGAGTTCTCCTCCTTCACCAGGAGGAGGTGGCGGTGTGGGACAGAATGAATCAACCTCACTGAACCTGGAAGTGTGGGCAATACAGTGAAAGGGGGCTTGCTATTGTTCTTGAAGGCCCCCCATGCAACTAGCAGTGTTCTAGAGAAAATGTTTTCAGGCACTGGCGATCTGCCTCCCTCCTAGGGAAATGCTCACTTCCCAGCCTCATGCTGGCAACCCCACCAGCCCTCCAACACAGCAGCGACAGAGTCCTTGCTCGTAGTGTTAACCAGGTGTTTTGTTGGGGGTTTGTTTGTCTTTGTGTTCGTTGTGTTTTGTGTTCCTGATCTTCAGTGTGGAATTTCGAAAATTAGGAAGGCTATGCAGTGGTTTTTAAAAGTGGAGAGTATGATTTTAGCATGACCTTTCCCACCTCCGTCTCGTGCTTTACAATCAAAAGCTCTGGAACCTTCTCCCCACGCAGTCGGTTCTCAGGAGGGATCCGAACAATGCAGCGGGAGCCTCCTCGGAGGATGCGCCCCGCGCCGTTGGCCCCAGAAGGGGGAGCAGCTGGGATCTCCGCAAGGACTCCGCGGGCAGGTCGGTCCAGCGCCGTAGGGGTTAACGTGGGTCCGCGCGTAAAGGGAAGGAAAGAAGTTGGAGTTGACACTTAAGGAGGGAGGGGGTGGCGGACGGGTCTCGCTGACTCCTGATTGGTTTTAGATTTCATCCAAATTTTTTTTTTCTCCGTTCTCGCTCCCTCTTTTCAGTTTCTCTCTCTCTCTGATCCCAGGGGAGGGGAAACGGGACGAGTGAGCGTCAAAAATAAACCTCTTATGTCAAGCCGGGAAGGAAGTATAAATACGAGGGCTCGGCAGCCCACTCGGCGCTGCCCGGGGCGGGGAGGAGGCGCGAGG